CACCATGACAACAAAAGGACTTCAAACAATACAGAGGAAGAGAAAACAAGAAGAGTAGTCAGTGAGCATGTGCACAGCAGTGACTGAGAGCGGGCTTGCAGTGGCAGGTTCTGGTGCCAGTTGCTATGGTGACCCCACTTGGGCCTAGTAAAGGTATTTCCTGGATCGCATATGTCTGACAGGCCCTTAATCCCAGCAGGAAAAAGGGGCCAGGGGGTAGGATCAACTTTCTCCTCAAAGCCAAAGTACGAGAGGAAGAAGCTGCATTTAGACCCCATCTACATCAAGCTGTTTGAATTTAAAAAGGGACGATRCCATAAAGAGAAAAAAGACAGTACCTAAAATCAGGTTAGAAAGTATGAAGTTGCTTTTTTACTCCAACCACCCCATACTTATAAAAAAACAAGCAATTAGATTGTTCCTTTGCTTTCCACACCAACATGGAGCTGATTTGAGAGCAAAAACATTAAAGCATCAGATCAGGATTTTACTTGTTTATTAAGTTGAGTATGCACAGCTTCCACAAATGTAGGCCTGTTTATAATGTGACCTGTGTCTAAATAATAATACTAACACAGCCAAAACAAATACCAAATTGTGGATGATGAATAAAACTCAAAATAAAGTATCATTTTGAAGTGCCAGTCTCAGGCTTTACACTTTTTAAGATTGATAATAATGAACTATAGGAGTAATTGTGTATCAGCCATAGAGGGCTGCCATGATTAATCGATTAATCGACGACTAATCGATTATTAAAATAATCTACGACTAATTTAATAATCGATTAATCGTTCTCTTTTTTTTTTTTTTTTCTTTACTTTGTTTTTCTCTCCAAACTGCTTTGACACCTTCCACTGCCACATCTGCCTTTCTGTCCTTGACACACATGCACAGTAGTGGTAACTGGGGTAGGCCGTGGACGTCACAAGACATTATACAGACAGGCACTGGTATCATGGCTACCCAGCAACGGAGCTCAAAAGTGTGGGATCATTTTAAGAAAATGAAAGAGAAACCTGTGCAATATCTGTAAGGCAGAACTTGCCTTCCACAGCAATTATTTTAGTTAGCAAATAGCTAAAATCTAACGATGGTTATACAATAGCAGCTGCATTGTGGCGTGATAAGCTGTATGTTTTATATTCAATTAACRTATGATCCGATTAGTCGACTAATCGAATAAATAATCTGTGATTAATCGATTATAAAAATAATGGTTTGTGGCAGCCCTAATCAGCCATCTAAAAATAAAAAAGTAAAACTTGCAGAAGAAAGAGAATCAAGTCGAGGAGGTCACCTAATAACCTGCCTTCTATAAAAAGGAGCTTTTATAAGGTCTCTTAATGTTATTCAAACCTAATATCCAAGTAATTAAAACAAAGTTAAGTGTATAAACCATTCTGTCTTAACTTATTTATTTAATTAAACATAATACTGGACATTTGTGGAGAAACAGATTTTTGAACCACTCCTTCTGCCTCCCTTTCCAGCTGACAGATAATCAAACGACAATTTACTTAAAATTTGGAAAAGAAATAGGATGAAGAGCCTTGTGGACAAAATCACTGCATCATGAGATTTAATTGAATAAAAATCTAATCTTTTAGGCTCCTTGACTTTATGTCACAAAGATCTCCTCTTAAACATGGTCACAAGAGTGTCAGTTCATAACATTTCTCTCCTTAGTTTTCATTTTGATCAGCAAAGCTAAGTTTTGATTTCATCCTTGTATATCAACAGTTTACCTAAACATTCCTCTGTGTAGTTTTTTTCATTAAGTTCCCAGACAAAAGTAAATTACAGATAAAGTGGCCAATAAACTCTATAACCAGAGTTGCACATAAGCAGTGCGCAGGTACGCATGCGCGATCAAAAAAGGAAAAAGCGTACCAGATGGGACGTCATAAAGCTCCCTTGTGTGCCTAAGATTGTACCTGACTGTCTGTCAAAACAACAGCTATCAGGGCTCTAGAGTGCGACCAATTTGGTCGCGAACGCGACCTGATTTCTTAAAAAAAAAAAAAAAAAGAATCCAGCCGCACTGGTGTGAATGGATTGTTGTTCGGTGCGACACAGCGGGACGCTGACATAAGGATTAAACGGACACTGCCTTCAACAAATCAGATGAAGTCCAGAGCCGTTTTGTCCAATCAGAGCAGAGCAGGGTGGGACTTTCAGTGAGAGCAGGTTTGGTTGAAGCAGCGGGCCGGCTCGAGTGGACTCAAGCTACTGCAGCGATCAGTCCATACATCTCCTCCTCCGCTCCTGCACTTTGCTCCTGAACTATCAGAGACTTTGGTCTGTAAAACCTAACTTTAGCTATATTAAATATGTGTTCTGAATGTTGTTATTGAACAGATCTGTCCAACTCTGTGTGAGTGACTAAACTCTCCTCCCGAGAGACTGCTGTATGAGCGTGTCGCTGCGCGTGCAGGCTGAGTCTTTCTGTGAGGTTCACTGAGTTTTTCTAATTAAACCACATTAACTAACAGAACATTTATTTGCCCCATATTAAAGCAAAGATGAATCTCTGTTTAACCCCCCAGTCAAAAACATTATATATACAGTATTAAAAAAATAAAAACAACTTGCCATGTTCTCTAGGTGAAAAAGTTTTAAATCTTATTTTAATTTATYATAAAGATCCACAAATTTCATTCACAATTTTATAAAAAGAAAAAGAAAGAAAGAAAAAAAACAAGGTTCTTGATTTGCTAAACTTGTTTATACGTATTTAGGACCATACTGTGATACAGCTTTTCTGGGATAAATGTAATTTATTAAACGATCAAATACGAAGAATAAATAATTACATGAGCTGAAACCATCTAAATAATAATATTTTTGAACAAAATTCATAAAACAGAACAGGGGGATGTTAGATGCCCTGACACCATAAATGTGTTAAATGAGTGAAGGAAAATATGAGTGAGCACCAAGCAACAACCCTAGTTCTCCCCTGAGAACCAGACCATAAGTTTTATGTGCACCCCTGTCTATAACTCAAAGGCATTCTTGCACTGCTTCAGTGTTGATAAAATATTTGATTTAAGGAAAGCAGATAATTAGTAACGCTGCACTTCTTTTATTAAGTCAGTCGTGTTTCATTTCATTTGAAGTCACCCTTAAGTTCCTGGCAGGAAATTATAATGAAATGCCACAAATCAGATTTCTAACTCACCAACCCTGAAATCTTGTAATTTTAAGGTTTAAGACATTCAAAAATGCCTCAACACGTTCGTTTCTCCACTCCAGGTATGAAGCAATGAGTCCCTGAAATATGCTCACAAGACAAAAGCTGGCAAATTATACAATTCTTATTAGCCACACATTGCATCACAGAAATAGTACACAAGTAGGCCTGTCGCGATAGTCAATAAATCAATTAATCGCACGATAACTTTTTTAGAGGTCGGTAAAAAAAAAGACGGCGATAAGTTTCATTTTC